ATATATATAATTTTTTTATTATTTATATATGCTTATTTATTTGTAGGCATTGTCTTATCTGCCCACCACTGTCTCTCTTCTGATAAACTTTTGTTGTGGTGACACTTAACAAGATTAAGAAATACCAACTTGGCCTGTTATTTCTGTTTGAAGTAACACTAATGTAGCAATCATGACAGCTGTATTCTTTTTTTTTTTTTCCATTTGCCATAAGAGTCATATCCTCAATTTAAAAGTAAAATTCCATGAATGGTCTGATGATTTACTTAACAAAGCATGTTCCACTCTGCAGCTTTGAACTAACTACCTTGCTTTCCCCTGCAACCCTTGTGGCAAATTGAATACAAAGTCATTATCATCTTTTGACAGGGCTGCCTACAGATGGCTTACACATTTAATCTTTATCATCAGAGGAACACTGTTACCCACCGGAGCAGACAGAATCTGGAGCAGAAGCCCAGGGGAACCAATCAGCTTCTCTCTTCAGTTTGTTCAGTAAAGATTTGAAAATGAAAGAGAGAAGCTGATTGGTTGCCATGTACAGCTGCTCCAGATTTTGTCTGCTCCAGTTTGAATAAATTCCTCTCAATGTATATAGGAATATGCAGTTTTTGGTGTTTGTTCAGATTGAAGCCTTTGTTCCAGGAAGGTTTCTAGCATCCCTTTTGTATCGTAAATTGGATAGCCCAAACCTGGAGGATAAGAAGATCCAGTAGGTCATCTTGTGATTTGAGTATATGGTCTAATAGACCTACCAGACAGTAAGCTGAAATGGGTACCTGCACGTGCATGTAGCACTGTGTTCTTTTGAGGTGAATAAGAGAGCATTACTCATCTCAGTTGGAGGACATGCCTGGAAGATGTATTTTTGCACTATTAAAGTCTATGAGACCTTCTTACCAGGCAAAATTTAATTCTTAAGGAGGGGAAAGGGGGAAATTCGTGTATGTGATAGGCAACGTTTTAGCATCTACCAAGTCTCTACTAGGTGGGGTGAGAGTGCACTGGGTTTTATCTTCTTTTTATAAGTGGTTACAAGTTTGCCCAGGTCGATAATAAAAATAGCTTTTGTCATATGATTTAGCTCTTTAGGTCCAGTTGACACATGCAGACTGTGTGCATATACATTGTTTTGGCAAGTCATTGCGCTATATTGTAGCTAGAGCGTTGCCTGTGGTTTCCTATAAACATTCGTTCAGGTCCTCTTGATGTTTTTTATGGGTCCCAGAAATGTCCATTACACGTCCTCAATTTAACTGCAAACAAAGACAAGGAAAGGCAACTTACTGTTTAATGCAGTGTCAGATTCCTCATAAGCAGTAAATCAGAGAATATTCTAGACAGCTAGGTCATATGATAGACCAGTGATGGCGAACCTTTTTGAAACCGAGTGCCCAAACTGTGACGCAAAATCAATTTATTTACCTCAAAGTGCCAGCGCTGAAAATAAGTTTAGTACTGTGTATTGCAGTTCGGGCGCTCGGGTTTAAGAAACGTTCAACATCACTGCCTTAGGCCCCATTCACACCAAGCGACATACCTTACAAGCGGGGCTGGGATAGTGTGATTGTTTGGAGCGACGTTCCAGCGACCTTCACCGTCGGGCTGCATTCAAAAATAGAAACATCGAGCGACTTCCGTGGGAAAACCCGGGTCGGTCGGTCGGATCTATTTCCATTGGTGCTCCCTGTACCTGGGCTTGCGTGCCAGCAGAGAGGGGCCCCGCGTGCCATAGGTTGGCCACCACTGTGATAGACTGTGCACCAGTAACTGAAAATGGAAGGGGAGCAGATGTAGCACCATAATGAAATGCTGATGTGTAGTGTGTTTATTTTTTCTGTTCCCATGACGTGAGCTTGAGAATCTCTATGGTATTTGCTACTCTTCTTTCCTTGATGGAAAATCATTAACATGCTCAGGGAGTATTTTTGGAGAAAAATATTATAAAAAAAACTTAGCACAGGCTCATATACAGTGTTTCTCTGCTAAGCAATAACACCCCTTCTGTGCGTACTATCAACCAGATTTAAAGGAAACTTACTGTATATTTATAGAAGTATGTAGGCTACTTTTGCTAAGCACTTTCTAAGAATGTTAGTTGCCTGGCTGAATATGACCTAAATAATAATATTATTAATCTGTGTACTTTTTCTATGTCATTGACTCGAAATATTTAATCTTGTGTCCTTGTAACTTCCTGTCCTCTGTACTAAAAACTCAAACAATGTTATCAGTCTTCCCAGTTCTCTTCTGAGAACTACAGAACACTTTTCCCCATGTTGTGGAGATGAGGAAAGCAGGGTCGCAATGCCACTCTTCCTTATATACAGTACAGTAAGTGAGCGTTGTCACCCTGTGAAAGGAAGTGTGTTATTGGCATGGTTGCTGGGTGAAAAACAAAGGAAACATAATGTAGTCACTATATCTAAGGACTGGTAAGCTTCAGTATATTAACTTTTTTGTTTTGGGGTTTAATACACTTTAACCCCTTCATGACTGAGGCCCTTTTTTCATTTTTTGCACCCATGTTATATATAATAGGGGTTGACTTTCTAAAGACAAATAGACTGTGCACAGTGCAAGGGAAGTTTCCCCTTTTTTTAGTGAATAAGGTGAAGCTTTGCTGACTTCCATCATGCAATCATGTGCAAGCCAAAAAACTGTTGTTTTTTTAATATTCTTTGCACATTATTGGGTACTTTTTGCAAAGTGAAATTTCACCACATTCACCAAGCTAAGGGAAAACTTTCCCTGAAAAGTGCAAATTCCCTTGCAAAGTGAACAGCCTGTTTGCCTTTCGTAAATCAACCCCAGTGACTATGACTTAAAGTGACACTAAACTCAGGAGTTAAATCTTAAAAATGCATTCAAGTACCTTAACTAGTAACAAAAATGTATCTTATTTGTGTATCACTCAGCTGTAGATCCTCAAATCATCTCTGAATTGGTGCTGACACTGTCCTTCCTTCTGGAGGGGGGCTACTTTTGTTCCCCATGGTCCCTGTGTGTGTTGTAAAGTAGCCACCGCTCCAAACTCGCTCACGTAATGGACTACAATCTCATTATAAATGAATAAACTAAATTTGAGATTATAGTCCATCACAGGAGCGAGCTTGGAGCAGTGGCTTCCTTACAACACACAGAGGGACCATGTAGAACAAAAGTAGCCACCCTCCAGAAGGAAGGACAGTGTCCGCATGAATTCAGAGATGATTTGAGGATCTACAGCCGAATGATATACAAATAAGGCTGAAGGGAGCGGTCAAAAAGCAGGCTGGCTCAGAGGATCGGGTGAGTACAACTTTTTTTATTTTTTAACCTAGACACATTCGAGCAGTTAACCCTGGTAATGCGGGGGTAGCACCACACCAAGGGTTAATAAACATTTTACTCAGAGTTCTGCTTTAACAGGCTACTGGTAGTTACATATTGCAATATTACATATTACTGATAATTGTCAAGAATATATAGTGCTAGACCTTTAGGAATCATGTAGATCACAGAATAGCTTAATTAGAGCACATGGAAATTAAACTGAAAACAACACATATCAAGAAGCAGAAAGTAAAGCAGTAGTTGGTCTGAGGGGGGACCACATCAATTGTAGTAACTGCTGTTAAAAGAGTTGCTATTTCAGTTTTGGAGTATGGAATGGAAAACCAGCAGTTTGTGGCCTGCGTTAAGCTAGTATCTTCCTATTTACAATTTCTATGATCAATTCTCCTCATAATACAAAAATCAGTTGTCACAGTAGGCCACTGACCTTTACTTGGAGGCACACCACAATTTCCAATTTTTTCCATATTTTATGCTTTCTACCATGTTTTTCTGTGGCGCGTATATGAGATCTAAATTGTCCTAATGGTGTTTTTGTAATGATGAACATCCAGTTTTTGAATTATTTATTATATCCTTTGTTTTCCATTAAATTTTAGCACTTTCATTTATATTTTATTATTGAAATGCTTTGTCTTATAATTATACATATTCTTAGCTTTATGTATATTTTTATTTTAGAGTAACGATGGTAGAAGTGCCTTACATCTGGCTGCTGAGCATGGAAGATATTCAAGATCGCAAAAACTGATACTAAATGGTAACAGACTGTTTTCTTTTCAACTAAGCGTGATCTATAAATTTGTTCTTACTAACAGGGCTATTCACACAAGGGTGAAGAGTTAGGAGATGGCAGGAGAAGAGAACAATCTAGGACAACATAGCTGATTTGGAAAAATTCTCCAATTCAGCTCACTTTCCAGTTCAGCTATGTTGTCCTACATCAGTGATGGCGAACCTTTTTGAACCCGAGTGCCCAAACTGCGATGCAAAATCAATGTATTTATCTCAAAGTGCCAGCGCTGAAAATAAGTTTAGTATTGCAGTTTGGGCTCTCAGGTTTAAGAAACGTTCAACATCACTGCCTTACGGCCTTGTACGGCTCTCACGGGGGACCCGAACATCCCGGATCGCCTCTGTAGTCGGGCCGGTCACAATCAGGCAGCGGCGGTGACCTCTAAACAGGCGGGCTCCAAAGCCCCCCACAGATCCTGCACAGCCCCCCTGAGATATGCACAGCCCCCCACAGAGACCCCGCAGTCTGCCGGATCTCAGGGGGGCTTTGCAGGATCTGTGGGGGGTTTGCAGGCTGCAAATCTATGTGCATAATCTATGCTGGGCCCTGCCAGCACAGTGCTCCTACCTTACACTGGAAGCCCAGCCTTCACTGCTGCCTCGGCGCCCAATCGTCTCAGCTCCGCCGCTCGACTGGCCCCTTGGCAACGCCTCCTCCATCGCGGTCTCTGCCATTGCCTCAGTCTTCACAGACCTCTTCCATCTCCCTCTGTCTCCGCCCCCTGTCTCATGCCGTTCTGTCCCCGTCTCCTCACGTCCTCTCATCTCCGCCTCGATCTCACTCTGTCTCCGGCCCTGTCTAATGCCGCTCAGTCCCCCGTCTCCTCCCATCCTCTTTCATCTCCGCCCCCATCTGCCTCTGTCTCCACCCCCTGCCGCTCCGTCCCCCTTCTCCTCCTGCTCGCCGATTTCTCCCCGTCGACATTAGACAGCTCGGCTGCCTTAATGTTTTGGGGACTGAACCTGGGCTTGCGTGCCAGCAGAAAGGGCCTTGCGTGCCCTCCCTGGCACGCGTGCCATAGGTTCGCCACCACTGTCCTAGATTGTTCACTTCTGCCTTCTCCAAACTCTTCGCCCTTTTGTGAATAACCCTATTATAACTATTTGAGTTTGTTCTCCACAACGCCTGGTCAGATACAAACTTTAAGGGCTTGTTCACACGATTTTCTGGTCCGGATCTGCAGACGCGTTGCTTTGCATGCAGTGCGTTTTTGACGCGTTTTAATACGCTTTAACCGCGGACCGGACGCTGACAGTTCTTTTTTTTTTTTTTTTAAAGCTGTGGGGCTGTCAGTATGCAGATTCTTCCTCTGAGGTCACTTCCGCCCTCTCGTAACAACCACTTCCCTTTGTGTGTTACAGTGGATAACATAACCAGCTGTATTTGGATAACATGACCAGCTGTATTTGGATAACATGACCAGCACACAGTTAGTCAACATGCAAGATATGTGTAATCACTCACCACATTCATTCTTTTGGACACTATTGTACAATCCGAATTCAGCATACAGCTCTGAGGCTATTTCTCTCCAGTTTTGATTTTTTTAATGCACATTTTTGAAATGTGGATGACGAGAGTCGTATAGTATTGGTGCTCGCTCCATCAATCCGACAAACCTTTCTATGTCCAGGACCATGTTGTCCATGCCTATTGGTTTTCCCTCTACTGCTCCACCACAACCAGGGAGTCCAACGATGACGACATCATGAAAAGTGTAGAAAGAATACTTTTTTTTGCTAAGCTGCAGTGCGGTCCGTTTTTTACGCATTTTCTGTGCGGTTTCGTTGCGTTTTTTACGCGTTTGTGCGTTTCCTGACCATTTCTGGACCGGACAAAATGTGACATGCAGTATTTTTTCTGTTGTGACCTGAACGGACTGCGCACATGAGAACTGTAGCCCATAAAACACATAGGGATACATTGGGATGCATTTTTAGTGCAGGACCGCACGGATCTGGTCAGGACAGAATCCGGACGTCGTGTGAACAAGTCCTAAGTGCAACGACTTTTCTAACAGACAGGCATCACAGATAATAAGAATGCTCTCCACCAGGATTTTGAACTTGTTCTAATTAAATGCTGATTGAATTAAATGCCTGAAAATGTTTGGCTTCTGTTTGCTGACCACCTTAAAAAGCTGGTGGCCCAATTGTCTGAACTCCTGATCTGCATACTTGTTTTGGGTCTTACTCAGAAAGTACTGGGGTCATTGGATCAGTATATCAACCAAAATGAGCAATTAGCATTTTCAGAAACCTCCGACCCGTGACAGTCTCATTGTCACAGGTCGGCTAGAACTATGAGGTGAGGGAAAAGCACTCACCTCATAGTTCTCCTTTAAATGTGCCTTTGAAGGCATTTTGTTATATATGTGCAATAAGTGTAATACAATACCTGTTGATCCTGCCAGAAATCTTGTGAACTCATAACTTCCTATGCTCTCTGACTCTGTTAAATGTTATCAGTTAGTATTGTTCCCAGCTATCTATGTGAACTTTATAACATCCCCTCCTAATTTTATGAAGAAGGCGGTGTTCTGTAGCCCTGTCCTAGAATGACAATGCTGCTGCTTCTTAGATATAGTAAGGTGAGTGTGTGTTGTCACCCAAGGACGTATGCTACTGACAGGATCACCAGGTAATATATAAAATTTTTGTTCTTGGGTTTAGATACGCTTTAAGATCTAACATGACAACAGTGACATTGGATTCTAGACCATTTAAAAATGTTTTTGCTTATAGGCAGACACTGAAAAACCTCTTAGCATGTCCTTCTCCCATGATGGGGATCTCTGACTGTTTTTCTGTTTGTTTTGTTTTGCATATAAACTTTTTATTGAACTTTTTTGTTTTGTTTCATATATTTCCTTATATGAACACAACATACTGTATATAGCTTACAAAATGCATAGTACATACAAATACACTTCTATGCTTCTTTGACAAATACACGTGCTCTCCTCCTATCAGCATGTTCCTTGTTAGCATTCCTTTTACACTCCCAGTCCTGCCTCTCCCTCCCCCAGTCTAAGTCCTGCTGCTTCTAGGATTGCATTTAGCTGATACCAAGTCAAATTCAGGAACTTCTACTACTTGCATTTAAAAATGCACTTAATAATTTACTAATGAAAACAGGGCTGCATTTGGCTATGTCTTTTATATCTACCTGGAGTTCAGTGATCATTGAAAGTATTCAATATGGGTCATTATGGATTGGTAATGTTCACCTGCTATAGTACAAAATACTCTTTTCTCACCTGTAAATGTATATAGTTTTTTTAATACATAACTATATTTAAAAATATTGAAAGCTTTGGTTTCTTACTTTTCTGTGCATTAAGGGGCTAATATTGATTTTCAAGACAAAGTTGGAAATACTCCATTACATGTGGCTGCAAGATACGGGCGGGAGTGTTTAATAAACCTATTTTTGTGTAGTGGATCCAATACAGCAATGTAAGTATATCTCTTTCACATTTCTTGTAATTAAATACAATGTTATTATTTTCCATAGCAAAGAAAAGACAATTAAACCAGCAAATTCTATTTTTCAGAGGTGGTGTGCACAATATGTTTCCCCTGCATTTAGCGGTTCTATATGGGCATATTGAGTGTTGTAGACAGCTCTTGTCATCAGGTAAAATAAATAATTTCAGTTATTATACATGCTATATATCGTATGCTGCATACTATTCAGTGGGCTTCTTCAGTTCTATTTAATGGTAGAATGTCTTTTACCTAGGAGTCATGTACAGGAAAGTTTAGCTGTAGAAAAGTAAAGGGGTTTTCATAGGTTGAAACATGTGGCTTCCCTTATATATTAATCAAACATATATGTTGCATGTAAAAATACATTTACATACACGGATGTGCATTAACTAGATTTCCAGAAACCTCTTGGAAGTTTCTGAGATTGCTGAAGTAGGGGACCAGAAAATCCTAATCCTGATCCTCCCATCTGCAGACATCCTAAACCAGCATGCGAGGGAACTTGAAGCATCATTTTTTTTGAAGGACGTATTTTAGTCCTTCTACTACACTTGATTTATTTATTTCACACTGTAAGGGTATAGGGCCACTTTAAGTAGATATATTACACAGTGTTTTACAAAAGACATTTAGGATTGTAAGCCCCCCCCCCCCCTTATGTTTTATTAACCAGTACTTGAGTTTGGACAGAGTTTGAAGAGGCCCTACCCCTATCACCAATTTAAAAAAATGCTGGTAAAAGCACAGAAAAATCAAATAGTTTAAATGCTTACTTGAAGCATTTTTCCTTTCCATGTACAATTTCATTGTGCCTCTGAACCTGCTAGCAAATTTGACTATTCAGTTCCATAGTACAGCTCTCTCTCTCCTTGCATGTCATAGCCCTCTCCTGTTCTGGTATTATTATTACAGGGATTTATATAGCGCCATGAATTTACACCGTACATTTACAGCAGTCATTGCTCTCAAGGAGCTTACAATCTATTTACTATATACAATTAACCTATCACCGTGTCTTTGGAGTGTGGGAGGAAACTGGAGTTTCCAGGAGGAAACCCACACAAGCACAGGGAGAACATGCAAACTCCTTGCAGATAGTGTCCTCACCAGGACTGTCTAGTTATTCATTGTTCTGGCCCAACTCTACTAATGGTCTGGAGACAGGGTCTCTTTAAAGAAGCATTGGGGAGGTGCTCTTGGGGGGGCGTTGTAAACCTTGTTCTGTGTAGTAGTTGTGACCATTGCAATGTCCTTACACCCCTGAACGGTGCAACTAATGCTGATTTATAAGAGTTTATTAAGACATTATAGACTTTGTTGTAATGGTAAATGTACTACTGTGTGCTCAGTTTTATGTCTCCCAATCCAGCCAAAAACATGATGAGACCTATACAAGTTTTTCAGTTATAAACAGTTATAGAAATTTTTTTGAGCCTATGTATGTTATACATAAATTATATATTACAAACCCATTTTTTGCTGCTGAATTAATTGTTAAACATGTGCTCCTAGATTTTGAAATAAATACACCCGATATTTTTGGAAGAACATGTCTGCATGCTGCAGCGGCAGGAGGGTAAGTTACTTGTTATTTATATAGATAAGCAAATGGACTCTAAATGACTAATATATAAAATGGATATTCCACTATATAGCCTAGAAAAGAACTATGGGGTAACCTTTTTATCCCATAGTTCTCTTTAGGGTCACTGAAGGACATAGGACATATACTAACCTCCTCCTGTGACGCAAAGCTCAGTATATAGTGAGCTATCGCGAGCTATATACCGAGAGCACCGCAGCCGGGACGAATCCCGACAATACTGTCGAGATCCACCCAGCTGGCTGATTGACAGTGGTCTCTGCCTATCTAGAGGCAGACCCAGCTGTGCCCACTGACTGACAGATGAACAGGAAGTGAGCGAGCGACGGTATGTGTTCGCTCACACCACGATCAATAAAGCTGCAGTGTGACAGTCTCTCCTTCCCTGCAGAAGATTGGGAGTCTATGACTCTATGCTTGCCACAAGGCTCTAGGACTATCACTATTCAGGAAACAAACTGCAAGCAGTGCTCCAGGTAGTATCACACCCCGGAACTCCTCCACAAAATTTCACCCACCGTTCCTGACACATGTTGGGCACAGGTCCGCGACCTTATTGAGAAAATTACAGGAAAATCGGTCCTACTCAGCCCTGCTCACTGCCTTCTTCATCGTATGGAAAGGTCTTTTCGAACTTGCCAACGATCCTTGACTTTTCACTTACTGAATGCAGCTAAATCGGTCATTCTCCGATTTTGGCGATCCTCTGCCCCGCCTCAACTACCTGATTGGTTTCGATGCGTAGATTTTGTGGCCGAGATGGAGGAGCTGATTCTTGTCCACCAGAGCACAATGTAGAAGTGCTCCCGTAATTGGACACCCTGGATCCTATTTAAGGATTTGCAGATTTTTAGGTTGATCATGATGCTTGACGCCCCAGGCTCTCCCCCTTAATGTCTCTCTATGCAGTTGTCTTCTTTCTCCCTTGTGTGTGGAGAATGTTGAGAGAAACATGCAAATTTCTTTAGCTCTTGCAGAGAATGGCATCCTAAAGCTTGTGCCATACTCTTTTGACATGCCACTCTGCCTACCCCCAATCCACCTTCCTGCACCTAGTCTCCTGCTGGATTTTTCTCTATTCTTCTTTCTCCTTCCTTCTACTATTTATTTGCCCACTTTCTCCTTGCATCCCATTTTGGGTAATTCACCACAATATCGTACTTGGTTATAGTCCTTCGCTCACTCTCTTCTTACTAACATTTTTGCCTGTTAGATACCTGCACCATATGTAAACCTTTATATGTTTAAAGTGTTTAAAATGTTATTGAAATATTTTTGAATCTAAACAAATGCATTATCTTTGAAGGAGAATTATGGTGTGAGTGAAATACACTCATCCCCATAGTTCAAGCCGACCTGTGACACTGCATCTGTCACAGATCGGCTCTATTGATTGGGAAGTCAGCGAACACCTACTGCCGGTCACTGACTTCCAAATGCCATCCCTGCAGACAGAGGTGACTGTCAGTCACTAATCTCTGCAGGGATCACCTCCCTCCCCTCTCCGTTTCTCTAGACTGGAGGAACTGATGGGGGAGGGGGCGTGCACAGCTGGCTCTGCTTCTAGAGAGGCAGAGCCAGCTGTCAATCAGCCAGCGGGGTGGATCTCACAGCATTGTCAGGATCCGTCCCGACTGTGGTGCGGCTCTGCGCTCCCAGCATGAGTTTTGGGTCATCGGAGGACATTAGTATATGTCCTTTTTTGACACTGAAGAGAACTATGTCCAAAAAGGGTTAGGCCATAGTTCTCTTTTAAAGAGACGCTAAACTCAGGAGTTAAAACTTAAAAATGCTTTTAAGTACCTGAACTATTAACATAAATGTATCTTATTTGTGTGTCACTCGGCTGTAGATCCTCAGATCATCTCTGAATCCATGCTGACACTGTCCTTCCTACTGGCGGGTGACTACTTTTGTTCACCATGGTCCCAGTGTGTTATACACTGAGTGGCCAGATTATTATGACCACCTGACGTTTGTTGGCAAATTAGCTATATTTTCGCGCTGAAGTTGCTAGAGGGCCAGACCATTATAAATAGGGAAGCAGGTTGTTTACCACGACAGTAGAAGTGATTTTTTTTCTGAAGATATGGGTAAACAAGGTGATTTAACAGCCTTTGAACGTGGGATGATTGTTGGCGCTCGGAGCCATGGAGCGAGTATCAGCAAAACAGCAGAATTCGTTAAATGTTCAAGAGCAGCTGTTGTTAAAGTGTTTAAAGATTGGACTGTCAGCCGAAAATCTGGGTCTGAACGTGCAAATTGTGGCCGTCAGTGACTAGGCAATGTTAGGGCAGAACGGAGAGTGGCAAGACTGGTACAAGACAACAAAAGGGCAACAGTGCAGTGTCAGATTCCTCGCATCACCTTTCAACATCTCGTGTAGTCACGAGGCGGCCCAACAAAGTCATCTCGTGGAGTTATCTCGTGACCCAACGAAGTACTGATGGGGTGGTCATAATAATCTGGCCACTCAGTGTATAGTAGTCACCGCTCCAAGCTCCCTCCCGTTATATACTATAACTTCAATACAAAACTAAATAAATATGAGATTGTAGTCCATCATGGGGGAGTTTGGTGCAGTGGCTTCTTTAAACACACACAGGGACTATGGGGAACACAAATATCCACCCTCCTTAAGAAAGGACAGTGTCAGCACAAATTTCAGAGAGGATTTGAGGATCTACAGCTGAGTGATGCACAAATAAGTTACATTTTTGTTAATAGTTAAAGGTACTTGAGTTCATTTCTAAGATTTAACTCTATAGTTTGTCACTGTAAGCCCACACTAGCTGCTGCTGTTGCTGACTACTAAAAACTAATGTTCTACCTTCTTTATAGTTGACTTAATTGCTGGTGTTACCAAACGGCATTATTCGAGAATTGCTGTGAACTACTTATCTGCATGCAATCAAGATTTGATATAATAGATCTGCAGATAATATTGGATAGAATCAATTGTGAAGACATTAAACAGAGACAGAGTTGTTCATTGAGTTATTTAGAAATGATTATCTATTGTAAGTGGCAAGTGCTGCTGCGCTCTATATTGCGATTATATTGTGATCTCTCCACCAGCTCAGTGACTAAAAACAAAGCACCAGTTATGGTGGTTCGATGTTGCGGTTTCAGTGTTACACCCTGTGTGCACACCTATGGTCTTAGATATAAGGATACCAGATATGCATATACTTGTTTCAGTAGAGTGACTAGCTGAGTTGTGAAGTAGGGCTATGAATGCCAGCCCTGGACCTTGCACCATTTAAAACCACATCAGCAATAGCAGCTTTCATAGTTGTACCATTTTACATCTGATAGTGCTAATGTGGTCCAGATGCATTATTTTTTCCCGGAAAGTACTGATTGCACTTGGCATTTTTTTTTGTCTTCCTTTGTGGTCTTTTTCAAATTGTTGACATGTTCAGAACAGTGACGTGCAGTGCGTTCCGTGCTGGGTGAGGCATTCCCCTTGCCCATGCTTTGCCATTGGCCCAAACCATCCACAGAGGCCAAGCCTCTAACACAAAGTAGAGGCTATTGCAGCTCTTTCCTCACTATGTTAGGTTACACAAGCAGCGGGGAAACACTGTGTAACCTGTCACAAGCCGGTCTGTATGTAGAGAAAGCTGTCAGCTTCAGACATGAAGCTGACAGCTTTTTTCTCCATAATACTAGGTGAGGCTCTGCCTCACCTGACCGCATGTCCCTGGTTCAGAACTACAAACACCTACTAAGTGCAACAGCACAGGCTTTGTGGGCCTCTCCACAATTGTGGCCTCCAATCAGGAAGTCTTTTTTATGGAAAATTACCTTTTGTCATGATATTTGCCACCAATTTATTACAAATAGAGTCTTGGCTGATAGCTATGTTTACACTTGTGACTATTTTAAATACAAAAAACTTGATTCCTTTTTTTGTTTGCAGAAATGTTGAGTGCGTACAAGTTTTACAGCTTACTGGAGCAGATCAGAGCAAAAAAGACAAATGTGGTCGGTAAGTTTTAAATACAGACGATTATGTTTGAAATCTGTTCATAATAACACAATTGTGGGCTTCTCTAAATCCGTGTAGAGATCAATAAAGATCTACAAATTATGTATGCCATAACAGACAGGTCTTACATTGCTGAACTCAGATCAGTAAAAACTGTCTTCCTACATTCCCTCAGGGATTGGTCATTTTTTCCTGCATTTTGGGACTGCAAAAATGTTTGTCGACCACATTAGTTGTTGGTCTAGTTTTCTTTCTTTTCCGATAGTGTTTTTCCCACATGTTTTTTTGGTAGATTTTTTTATTTATCATCCAGTTTCACTGGATGGGGCCCGTGGCTTTTTAAGACACTAGCTTTAGAGGTGATTTGTCCTGGTCTGTAACATCAGGTTGATTCTCAGTGTTCTCTGCTTGGCCCTGACATTTTCACATAGCCTTTTCTTCATCTAGCTTTGATTCAGGCATTGATTCCTTCAGATATTCTGTGGATGGTCATTACATGTTTTCCTTTGTTCCTCAATGGATGATAAAGGAAATAATTTTTTTGTACTTTTACTGTACTGTAAAATATTTTGTTTTCCATTGAGGGCCGGAGGTCCAATCCCTTTGTGTTATTAGCCCAGTGTACTGCTTACTCACAAAACTTAAGCATCAAGGGTAAATGAGGGGTTTGATAGGGGCTGGCTCAAAGGTGTTTTTTTTCTGTTATCTAGTGTCCCAACCTACTGTAGGCAGCAGTATAAAACAGACAAGAATTTCTTGTATGTTTCCAGTAATGCTTAGTATGTACCATGTCACACTAAATGCCTTTCTGGGAAGCAGCACTCTAATGAAAAAAGATGAGGTAGCTGTAAATGATCGTTCAATTGACATTTTATTATTATTATTGTTATTATTAGTAGCTACAGATGTTTAGTGAGACATTCTTAAATACATCTATTTGTGCTCATTATAGGACTACTAAAATCCTAAAAAGGCTTCTTTCGCAAAAAGTTGGTTAACAATAGCAATATTAAAAGGGCCAAATAAATTATGTTTCTAAGTATTATTGAATGCCCAGAGCAGCTTTTAACAATCATATATTGATTTTTAGGACACCCTTGCATTATGCATCTGTTAACTGCCACTTCCACTGTATTGAGATTTTGGTAAACTCTGGTGCAAATGTGAATGAACCAGATGATTGGGGCCGGACATCTTTGCATTATGCTGCAGCTTCGAATATTGACCGCAAGTAAGTGAAACACATATGCAGCTAAGGCTGATTTGTATGTATCCAAACTACAATGTCAAGTGTGTTATATATATTTCTTGCCACTATTTCTTGTGGCTGGTATATTTTACCTATAAACAATGCATATAACTTATGCATTTTATGTATGAGTATTGAAACAAATTTCCATTTTCCATTTTCCTGAGGCCAACATGGCAGCATAGATATGGTAAATAACTAGCAACACAGGAGGGTATGATACAAAGTATAATATTAAATGAGAGGCAGGACAGAAAGAAGCAGTCATGACTCTTGCACAGAATTCTGCAGATAACCAGGCTGCTGGGTTCATGCTATAATTCAACACAAACATATGAAAAGATGACAAGTGGTGGCACAGAACAGATGACCTCAGGAAAAACGCATGTGAAAGCTGTCCATAATGCTGCCATTCCTATGGTCACATGGGCAGTCAGCACATGAGAAGCCTCTCACCTGTTAGCCCTGTATACTCAATGCCCTATTTAACACCCATAGATGAAAAGTCTTTCTGATGCGAAAGGCTCTGTAGCAGTGATGCAGGCTCAGAGGGACCTGACCACATTCAATTTGTGCAACCCTTGGGGATCTGACTGGTCCCTGAAGGTGAGAACAACGCAGTATTAGTAGATATGAAAGCTGAAAAGGAACTTTATAAACAAGTTCATCTATTGATTGCAAAGCCACTTCATAAGAATGACATCTCCTAGACAAGGTCTTTCATTCCTGAGAAGAACTAGGGAAACTTGTTGTTAGGGGATGCAAACAGGTTCACTTGAGGTTATCACCTTCAGAGAAAGATTTGGTTGAAGAGTTTTGCGCTGAGGGATCATTAGTTGCTGTCTATGAAGTGATGTGATAGATGGTTTGCGCTGAGATTGTCCTAGCCCAGGATGTACATGGCCTTTAGAGCTTCCAGATTTCTGTTTCCACTCCAGAATGGGGGTCACCTTCCTGAACAAACTCTGGCTGTATGTTCCGTCCTCATGCTGCACATAAGATGCTTAAGCCATCTGGAGAAGGACCACCTTTCCCGAAGATTTAAGGCAAAGGTCCTTAGGGCTTCCCAAGCTGCTTTAAGTGCCAGGATGTTGGAGACTATACTGGCTGCATTGTAGTGCAACTTTCCTTGTGCCACAAGTCATCACTGGTCACTGGTGTTGGTGGTGTAGCGTATGGGACCAAAAAAGTGACAGTGATGGAGATTATGGGGGATCGCTAAGCACCAGAGATATTCTGACTCCGATCGTTGTGATAGCGAAATATATCCCTTGCTGAGACCTCTATGCCTGGCCTGTATAAGCAGATATACTCACTGCGGACAATCCTCGTCAGATAGCTGAACTCGTCAATACCGATTCATTCAAAAGAGGTGTTTATTCTTTACATCAGGTTACAGCAGATGATAGGAACAGCAGTTGAACGGTTATAGTATTGTGCGGTCAGAAAATGATGCCTTTCCTACGTACTGTGCAGATCACATGTGTGCCCTTGTTACATGTGGCTTTCAACTGTGCCCATGACACAGGAAGTACTGCACACAGGAAGAAGGGTGGGGCTACACTAGGGGGAAATACATCGTCACATGAGGAATAATTACAGAAAACATGTTTGTTACAACAAAAGGCCACTAGATGGCAGCATAGGATAACACATGAATTTAGCTATGAGAAAATAGTTAGGCAAATCACACTATATAAATTCTAACCTATATAACAATGCTAATAACTTGAGGTAGGCAACAGCTGCTATGGCCTCAGTAGATGCATCTGGGAAGATGTGAAGCTCTTTTATCTGACTTGCAGGAAGAGAAGCTGCAGTGTAGTAACTTGACATTTCAGTTCCATCTAAGGTATGTGGAGATTGCTGTCTCTGTAAGGATTTACCTTGTATGGTGTTGGGAGCCACAAATCCCACTGGATCGTATAGGCTGTTCACCACTGACAGAACACCGCGCTTGGTAAATGGCTTGTCTGCAGAGCTGACTTGAAAGCCGAAGGTGTCTTTTGATAAGTTCCACCGTAGGCCCAGACTTCTCTGTACAGGTGGCATGTCCATTCCCAGATTTAAGTCTTAGTCTTCAAACCCTGTGGCATGATCGCCAGGTTGAAAGGCTTTCATAACAACAACAGTGTGTGAGGCAATCTTGTGTAGTCTGAGGTTAGCCTCAGAAAGCATACCTTGTGTATTTGGTAGCAGGTCTATTGCTTCTTCACGAAGAGGAGAATCATCTTGCACGATGACTGGTGTTGAAGACTCCGATGAGTTTCCCAAGAGGTTATGCTTGTGGAGTTACTGGAGTGATGGTTGAGGAGTCATGTGTGTTGTCCTGGGTGCTTGCATCAGTGGATTCCCGCTCGTCTGAGCTGTTGAAGGAAATCTGGTGCGTAGTCTTACCAGAACAATTGCAGGGTGGTGTAGTGATGTTGTCTTGGTTTACTTGCACGATGATCTTATTGGAGCATACGTCACCTGACGCTTGAGGTCCGCAATCTCGTTTGATTCCAATAAGTACCCAACCAAGGTCAGTCTTTTGGGCATAAGGATCATCATTCCAGCCATTGTGCTGCTGACGTACCTTGTGTACTCTCAGGATGTCTCTGCCTAAGAGAAGCAT